TGTTTGTGACCACCACCACAATCAAGACACAGAACAAGTCTATCCCCAGGACCCCTCATGCTACCCTTTTATAGCCACAGCCACCTTCATTCCTCCCTCTTCCTCATCCATGGCAGCCACTAATCTGTTCTCCACCTCTAATTTTAATTCAAGAACTCTACATAATTCGGATTATAAAGTGTATAATTTGGGGGGATTGGCTTTTTTCACTCAGCATAATGCTCTTGAGATCCATCCAAGTTACTGCATGAATCAGTAAGTTTCTCCTATTTTATTGATGGATAGTATTCCGTGGGGATGGATGTGACATAGGTTATTTACCTGTAGGTAGTATCTCGGTTGTTTCCGCTTTTTGGCTATAATGAATAAAGTGGTATGAATGTTCACACATGAGTTTTTGTATGAATGTGAGTTTTCCTCCCTCTGGGATAAATGCCCAGGAAGGGGGCAGAGGGAGAGAGGGAATCTTAAGCAGGCTCCATTCCCAGCGCAGAGCCCAATGCAGGGCTCAGTCTCATGACCCTGAGATCATGACCTGAGCCAAAAATCAAGAGTCGTGCACTGAGCTGACTGAGCCACCCAGGTGCCCCTGTACATTTTTAATATCCCATAAGGCAGAAGCATCTAGCCATGATGGTTGTTTTTATCAGTGTTCTGGTTACAGAGTTGAACAGGTTTTGAGGCTGCTGCCCCAGTCATGTTTCCCATGACTTCTGTTACTTTAATGAACTGTTGGCCAAATATAAGGTTTTTCAGGGATGGATCTACTGTGTTGCATCCAAAATGCTTACACTGGTTGGACTGAGGGTTTCGGGAATAGATAAGAGTCATGATCGGTGAAGACAGGTTTTCCCTCCTTTTATTCAGGGATGATGGCCCCTCTTCCTCTGTCTCGGCACTTAAGCGCCTGGAGCGCAGTCAGTGGACAGATAAGATGGATTTGCGGTTTGGTTTTGAGAGACTCAAGGAGCCTGGTGAGAAGACAGGCTGGCTCATCAACATGCACCCTGTAAGCACCTGGGCAGCTGCTGGCTTAGGCCTTTGAAGAGTGGGTGGTGCAGGTGGAGGTGGGATTGTTCGTAGCTCTCCTTCTTTCTTCTTCAACATCACTGGGCTGTAAAGAAGCTACTGGGACTCAGGGGGGTCCCTGTTAACCTAGAAAAAGTTTTCAAGAATGAGGGAGAGATTGAGAGAAATCCACACTTGGAAGATGTTGTGATGCAGTTCTTGTGAATGGGGAATGTTTATGTGGGGGTGGAGAAAGATTTTGTCTCTGTGCTCAGTTTCCCACAGAGGAGGAGCAAGAGGGTCCTTGTACTTGCGTAGGGGATAACTTGGTGCCCGTGTTGACTGATTCTCTTGTAGACTGAGATTTTAGATGAAGACAAACGCTTAGTCAGTGCAGTGGATTACTACTTTATTCAAGATGATGGGAGCAGATTTAAGGTAAGGTCTTGAACCCCAAGAAGCTAAGACCCACTCAGTGATGAGATGTAGCTGGGTCCAAAATGGCAGGTGTTCATTTAAGTGGGAGGAGAGGGGTTGAGAGGCTTCTGGTGTGCAGCTGCCCGAAGCCTGTTGGGGACATGGACCCCTTGGAGCCACATGGGTCTCCATTTACTATGTCATAAGAGAACCAACTTGGAAAGCCTGAGAGAGGAGTAGTTTTGTCTCTCAAACTTTTGCCCCTGCCGTATGCGCAGGTGCTAATTCCGGACTGCATCACCTTGTAAGAGATGTCAAGGTCAAAAATACGTTAGATCTGGGCAGCTTGTGGGGATAGCAGCAAACAGCCTGTCTTCACTTATCTCCCTTTTTTCTTTCTCATTGCCCCTGAATGGGTTGGTGGCTCTTGCAGGTGGCCTTGCCCTACAAGCCATATTTCTACATTGCAACCAGAAAGGTAAGTCTGTGGTCCATAGAATCAGGTCACACGACCTGTGCCTCATTTTATGGGGGGGGTGTGTTTGTGTGTGTGTATTTCAGAACTGAAAAGTAAAGAGGCCTCTAGAGAAACGGGCAAGGAAGACAGTAGATTTTACTAATAGGAAGTTCTTTCATTCTGATCTCGATTTAGGGTTGTGAACGAGAAGTTTCATCTTTTCTCTCCAAGAAGTTTCAGGGTAAAATTGCTAAAATAGAGACTGTCCCCAAAGAGGATCTGGACTTGGTGAGTATCACCGGGACCCTCCAGGGTAAATGGGTTTGGTCTACCTTGCCCCTGGGGTGAGATGGAAGAGGCCAAGTTTAGCACCTGTGGGATGGTGTACGGATGATGGGGCTTTGGTGACTGTGCGTACGTCCTCGTAGAGAACTCTGGTGGTTTAGTTGTGCCACATGCAGAGTTGGACAAGATGCTTTGGACTTGCGAACAGGTCTACTCATGTATTTACCTTTGAGTTGTTCTCCCCTTATTTTCTTACCCCAATAAAGTCCTTTTTCTCTTGAACTCATGAGCACAATCTCATCACTTTGTAGCCAAATCACTTGGTGGGTTTGAAGCGAAATTACATTAAGCTATCCTTCAACACCGTGGAGGATCTTGTCAGAGTGAGGAAGGATGTCTCCCCTGCCGTGAAGAAGAACCGGGAGCAGGGCCATGCCAGTGATGCCTACACAGCTATGCTCTCCTGGTAAGCCTTCTCGTAAGCAGAGCCCCCAGGCGGTCCACAAGGACTGTTTCCCACGTTTCCTACGTTGACAGGATGGATAGGAAGCAGGAAAACTGAGTAATGAAGTTACCTTAAGGATTAGCTCTGTTCAGTGTAGAAACACTTGCAAGCAATTAGGTAGAATTTCTTCTTTTAAATTTTTAGTTGTTTATCTGTTTTACTTCTTTGAGAGAGAGCAAGAGAGTGTGAGCAGGGGGGAGGGGCAGAAGGAAAGGGAGAGAGAGAATTCTAAGGAGGCTCCACGCCCAGCACGGATCCCAACATGGGGCTCGATCTCACCGTCTTGAGATCATGACCTGAGCCAAAATCAAGAGGCAAACCCCCAACCAAGCCACCCAGGTGCCCCAGCCTAGGTAGGATTCCTTATGTGCTGCATTTGCGTTAAATAAGTAGTGGTTTCCTGGGTGGTATCTTAGCTACACCTGTTTCTTACATAGGGGCGGATTTGTGGCTCTGAAGTTTGAGTTGCTGTAACAGTAAAGACATTTTGGATTCCCAATGACACCACTTTTTTTTTTTAAAGATTTATTTATTTGAGAGAGAGAGCGAGTGTGAGCATGGGGAGGGGCAGAGGGAGAGAGAGAATCCCAAGCCAGCTCACCGCTGAGCAGGGAGGGGAGCCCAATTCGGGACTCGATCCTAGGACCCTGGGATCCTGACCTGAGCCCAAGGCAGACACTTAACTGACTGAGCCACCTAGGCACCCCAGTTTTTTAAGTTTTTAACTTCCATCCTATAAAATACACATCCTAAGTGTGTATGGAATTTCCGGTCTGACCTACTGCTGTGGGACGGTGTCATCTGAGGTCATCTTTAAGAAGGGCCTGTCTGGGGGCACCTGGGTGGCTCAGTTGGTTAAGCGACTGCCTTCAGCTCAGGTCATGGTCCTGGAGTCCCGGGATCGAGTCCCGCATCGGGCTCCCTGCTCGGCGGGGAGCCTGCTTCTC